GCTTCCATCCTACCCTTCTTATTTTCAAAGACAATAACTTCGGTCTCGTCTTTGTTTAACTGAGGAAACTTGATTGCATCCAGTCGTTAACTTGCTCTAGGCACTGACAGAGTGAGTCTAGGGGACCAGATTCATTAGGTGATAGAGCTAGGTAGATCTGGGTGTCATCTGCATAACTGTGGTAGGCGATGTTGTTATTGTTTATGACCTGGCCCAGTAGGATCATGTAGAGATTGAAAAGCAGTGGTCCAAGTATGGCACCTTTATAAGTACGCAGCTGCTGTCTGTAGGACTTGATAGTGATCAGGAAGGTTACTTTTCCTCCATGTACGCTCAGCTTTGCGGCATTCTCTCTTTTGGTTTGTAACTGACTTAGTGGACCTTCATGGAGCTTTTTGTTTGCCAGAGATAATTTTTAGCTTTTCCGGAGCAATGGTGTCAATGACCTCTTGAGTTTTGCTGTTGAAGTGATTTAGCAGGGAATCAACACAGTTGGTTGAGAAACTTGTTGACATATTCATAGGTTCACTAAAAACTGATGCATTGTTATCACTTAAATACATTTTTTTTAGAACAACTGAGTTATGATGGGTAACGGGTAAAATTGATATCTCAGAGAAAACACAGAAATGGTCAGAGAGATCCTTAACAACAATGTCTGATACGTCAACATCTTTGTTTCAGATTAAGTCTAGTGTGTGACCTTGAGTGTGTGTTGGAACGTGAAAACGCTGGATAATGTCAAATAGTTCAAGCACACCAAGGAACTGTACTGCAGCTTTATCATTTGCATCAATAATGTGGATGTTAAAGTCACCAGTTATGAGAAGATGACTGAAGCCTGTTGTGATAACCGAGAGAAGCTCAGTGAAGTTTGTAAGAAAGTAATGCATGACCCTGGAGGTCTGTAAACTACTAACACTAAGATCTTAGGTGTACCTTTTAATTCAAAACAAAGATACTCAAAAAAGTCAAAGTCACCATACACGATCTGTTTGCAAAGGAATGAGTCTTTTAAAATAGCAGCTACACCACCACCTCTTTTGTCAGATCGAACCACGTTTAGAGATGTGAAATTTGGTGGTTTGATTCTATGAGAACTGGCGTGCAGCTATTATCATTTAACCAGATTTCAGATAGGAGCATACAGTCAAGATCAGCAGAGATAAGATCATTTGCTATGAATGACTTCTTGTTAAGAGAGCTAATATTTAATAATTGCAACATCATAGAGATGGTGGGAGGACATTGCGCTCAACTGACCTGATAAGAAACTGTTTTACGGTCTGAATGTGTATGAGGTTGGAGATGAAAAGTTGTAATCCATATCTGTTCAGGTGAACCCTGTCAGAAGAGAAGAGGCACTCGGCCCCAAAAGTAGTTGAAGTCGTCAATGAAATAGATTCCCCCTGCATGGCTAACATTGATCAGCCAAGAGTTTATAGCAAATATACGGCTGAAACGTTCAGCTCCTCTCATGACCGGTGAAAAAGGTCCGTTAATAAATACTTTTTGATACAGAGAGCTAAACGGTTTTATCCAGTTATGTAAATCCACTTTGTTGACATGAAATTCACCTACTATAAGGGTTTGAGGGTCAGCCTCAGAGTTTTTCTTCTTTTGGCGTGAGGATTTAGTGATGTATCAATCATTCCTTACCCTGTTTTGTGGAGGAGAGGGGACGTTTTCCCGATTATATGGAGAAATCTGTTGTGTAGATGTATCCGATGCTGGGCCGTTTTGATTAAATCATAACACACAGAAAAAATGTAGTTTTAGGCAAATGGATTTTGTGGAAAAAAAAAGGCAAAACAAAACCAATTTCAATGTGCCTTATAAATTAAAAATGCGAAAACAGACAATAGTTACCAAGCCTGACAATTCCCAATATTACAAAGTCAACTAATATCTAACAAAAAAATAAATTCCAGTGTATTTTAGTTGTTCTACTATTCCAAAAATGATGGTTACCTGCCCATTAGGTCATCAAACTGTGCAGAAAGGTGGTAATCACACACTAATTAATATGGATGAGCCGGATACTTGTTTCAGACGAGTATCTGGTACGAATAATGCATTTTTGACGAGTACGAGCATGAAACGAGTAAAACTTGTAAATATCTGTAATCGTGCTGAAGGAAAATCCTCATTGGGTAACTGACTGTCTTCATGCTCTGTGATTGGCTAGTCAAATAGAGCGCCCTCCCCTCCCTACACAAAAAACTCTGCAGCCGGGAGCTGACAGCTCAGTCCGCGTCCGGTCCATCCACGCACACACACAGACAGTAACAGATCTCTCTGTCCTTGCTTCACTGCTCACGTTTCTTCAGTACTCCCTATGTTTTCTTCAGTTTGCTTCTTTTTAAAGTTACTTTAAAGTTATTTAAAGTTACTTTTTTCGTAATGTACGTGGTGCATTTGACAAGACAGAGCTGAAAACGGCTCATGCTGCATCAGTCACTGCCTCCGCTCCGGTCGGGGTTTTTGTTTTTCCTCTTTCTCCTCTTCCTCAGGATCCACTCCCTCTTTCCTATTCACTCTCTCTCTTTCTTTACATTTTTTAATCACAATTGTCTATTTTTTGCTCATTTAAAATATATTTTAATCATTTTCTAAATTCTTTTTTCTATTTTACATGTCTTGTTTTTGTGAAGCATCCCGTGATTTTTATCTTGAGAGGCGCTATAGAAAAGATCTTTGCTTCTCTCTCTCTTAATTCTTGCACTTAAACATTAATGTTCTGATTTTATTGAAAAACTTCTTCTGTAATAGTTCCTTTACTATTGTGGTCAAAAACATTTAATCTCAACTCTGAGGCTGCTCTGTAAATAGTTTTCAAATAAACAATACACATAGCAACTTCTGATCAGACAAAATAACGTATTGATGTAAACCACACCCACTTCTGGTTAAACTACACCCACTTCCGGGTTAGGCCACACCCACTATGAGTACAGATACAGATAATTTAGATGGTTGAACAGATACAGATAATGGTGTACTCGCTCATCCCTACTAATTAAAACCAAAAATATGTAGGTTGGAGGCCCTTAAGGACTAGGATTGGACACCAATACCCAATAGAAAATGCAGTTAAGAGTATTTTTGAGGTAGATCCAAAGCTTCTGATTTAAATGCAGATAAAAGTGAAGCTTTTTTTCTTCTTTCAGCTCTCAGTTGGGAGTTTAAACCGTCGTTCCGGCTGAGACACAAAGCACATAAGGTGTGCAGGTTCTTTATCTCTTTTGTTTTCATAGCAAGGATTTTCTCTCCTTTCCTGTAGTTGCAAGAGGTTTTAGATTATCATGAGCGTGCTGCCAAGGACAGGAAAAAATGCTTTTGTAATAATGTATCCCCTATAATGTAAAATACACTTGGAGCATTCATAATTTAACTGGCACAATTTTTAAGAAGTCCTATTTTATGATGTCAAATGGGTCTTGGGATGGCTCCAGAGTGCATTTGAAAACAGAGCAGGGTGCGACCTGAATCCATTTAGCAATAGGTCAATTCTGGGTTAAGAAGAAAAACCTGCATCATCTTGGCTTCCATTTAGCAGCAAACATCTTCCAAGTGTGTGCAAAGAGGACAAGACTTTTTACTTGAGTTATAATAGTTGTTTATGTTTATGAAGTTCTTTGTACCTAATGCCTCTCACATGAAGCAATTTCAGCAGTTTGATTTTAGACAATTTCAGTATCTTCCAGAATGAGCCGATCCAGGGCCCTGCCACTTAAAAAAAAACAAGCTGAAGCTGGCCATGCCCACCCACCCCCTGATTGGCCGCTATAATCTGCAAAGCTCCTAATTCAGAGAGGGGTTTAAGTAGAGTCACTGCTCCTCCAGCAGTAGCTTTCTTTTGCATATAAGATGTGGTTTTATGCTAATTTCCCCTTTTGTGACATCACAAACAGGGGCTATCTGAAAGGACTTGTTTCAGGTTTGGTTTGAGACCCACATTGTAGCACAAAATGGTGAGTTTTGCTTAATATACCTTCTTTGAAAGAACACATTTTCTTAAGTGCTTCAACTTTGTTAACATTAAAATATTTTAGGTATATGAAGTTTAGTTCTGCTCTCCTTTGACCAGTCTGGTGTGGTTTAAGGTGTGCTACAGTTCGAGGTTAAATAAATCACCCTTTTGTGGACCGCTGAGCCCTTAATAATCCATCAGTTGAAGTCCACCCTGCTGCTGTTCACATCCTGGCTGTCATTAATCCCGAGGCTGCTCTGGTTAAGCAAACGTGCAATGCACCCAACAAACAGAATCAGGTCACCTCTGAGTGATGGCTTCATTCAAACACTCCCAACAGAAAGCACCTGTGTTAGGGTCGTAATGTGTTATTTCTTCTCATCTTCGATTGCACAGTGAAAAGCAGCGTAGAGTTAGATAACAACGCTAATATAATAGCAGGCCTCTCCGTGACTCACTGCTGTACAAAGGAGAGGATTGTTTGACTATTAAGGGCAACTCAACCTGTTGCACATTTATGAAAAAATAAAAATAAGATTAATCTTCGTTGGCTCGAGTCCCCTGGTCTCTGGAGGAAAAGGATCAAAAGACACACTTTGTCTACTCACACATTGCAGCTTTTATTCTCTCGAGTGGAATGCTGACTTTTTTGATGATATTAAAATTCCACGTGAAAAAACGTGTATCAGATGATTAACTGTTCTGCTCGCCAAGGAAACAATGAGAACTTGCTTTATTACTTCCCCAGAGAGTAATTAAAAGCTACTTCCACTGAGGGCATCAAAAACGAGACTATTAAGAAGTTCAACTAGCTAGAGAAACAAAGAAATACTCAGGAGAAACTACAAAAGAAAAGAACCGTCCCTGACGGGGCAAAGACGGACTAATCACTAGTATTTTGCAGCTTGGAGGGGCATTTTATCCAGGCTGTGTTTTGATCTAAGGTAATGAGTTGGAAATCTGACTACTGATCCCTCAGTGTTGTTTGTCATGAATCAAGAATTCGGAGGAAACAAAAGCAACTTACCCTTTATTTAAAAAAAAATCTTCTGCCCGTCAAAGGTATGCAGGACGGAAATATCTTCTTCCTTTTTTGCCTTCCTGTCTCTCACCTTGAAGATCTGGCTCAGTCTTAGGTGTCTCACCTCTCTTTACTACGCTGTCTTTATTCACTTTGCTCTCTCCGTCATGCTGCTACTGATGAAAAGGTGAGGGTCACCCCGAACACAAAAGTGTCCTTCGGTGCCAAGTATGTGGACAGCACAATGCTCTTTCATTCTTAAGTTGGTAAATATAGACCAATGACAGCCTCTCCTACCATGCACACGCGGTCACACACACACACACACACACACACACACACACACACACACACACACACACACACACACACACACACACACACACACACACACACAGATTATTGCTACTGGTAAGACGATATCTTGCTGGACAAGCAGCTAGGACTCGAGCCGCATTGTCACCAGAGGTCCAGCAGCTGTAATGACTTTGTTTTAATTTATTTAAGTTTTAATTATTTCATTTATTTGTACCTGTGCCTACCATCCCAGGGCGATTCCACTAGGATACACACTTTCAAGAACAAGGTATATGAAAAACACACAGAAAATCAGAGAAAGGTGGGGTGATCAGAGAGAAGAAACAGAGGGAATAATAGATTAAAGGAAAAGTGATCAGGGTTTGAATTACAGGGAGCTACGGGGAGCCAAGCTCCCCCGAAAGCCCTAAGCTGACACACGAAGGTGAGCCATAAAATTACCCAGTTTCAACCTTACATTATTATAAATAAGTAACAGAGGTGTGGGCTCGAGTCACCTGACTTGGACTCAAGTCAGACTCGAGTCATTATTTTAATGACTTCTGACTTGACTTGATAAAATCTAGAAAGACTTACGACTTGACTCGGACTTGAACGCCAATGATTTGCGACTTGAATCAACTTGGATTTGTTGACTTGATGATGACTTGAGCATATTTGACTTGGACAAAAATCATGAATCATTCTTCGTTCTGGGTTTGATCTTGTTCTGCTAAATGCAGCAGCACTTTGTTTATAATCAGATTCAATTGCACTTCCTGCTTGTTTGAGCAAATAAATGAAGCTTTAAGAAGCTTTATTTCTGGAATTTATTATCATTGTCACTAAATTGAAGTTGGACAGATGACTTGATTATGACTTAAAAAAATCAAAGTTAAGGACTTGGACTTGATTGTCTTTGACTTGGACTTGACTTGAGGCTTGACTGGAAAGATTTGTGACTTACTTGTGACTTGCAAAGCAGTGACTTGGTCACACCTCTGCTAAGTAAGTAAGTCAATTTTATTTAGACAGCACTTATCACAAACATAGAATCACAAAGTGCTTAACAACAAAATAAAACCAAGCCATAAAATCATAATAATCTCAAAACAGAAATAGATTAACATCAGAAAAAACAGAAATTAAATTATAAAATTTCATAAACAGATGAAAGATGAATACAAATGTGAGTTAAAATAAGAAAATAAAAGGTTTAGGTCAAAGTGGCTTTAAATAAAAGGGTCTTTAGCTGTTTTTTAAAATTGTCCAGATTGTCAATAATACGCAAGGATAAAGGAAGATCGTTCCAGAGTCGGGGTGCAACAGTCTGGAAGGAGCGATCACCTCGACTTTTATATCTGGTCTTTGGAACTTCTAGAAGGTTCTGGTGTGTGGACCTGAGGACTCAGGTTGGAGCATGAGGCTTTAACAGTTCAGTAATATAGGGGAGAGCCTGACCAAGTAGAGCAATGAAAGTAATACTCAGGATTCTAAAATGAACTCTTAAGTTAACGGGTAACCAGTGGAGAGACATCAGGATAGGAGTGATGTGTACTCTTCTGTTTGCTCCAGTTGGGAGCCTCGCTGCAGTATTCTGGACCAACCGAAGGCGATCAAGGGCTTTTTTGTTAACACATGTGAAGAGTGTGTTACAGTAATCGAGACGGGAGGAGATAAAGGCATGGGTAACCATTTCAAGTTCATGTTTTGACACCAACCTTCGCAGTTTGGAGATATAAGTGATAAAACAGTTTCAGACCAATGATTTTGAGTGGCCTTCAATAAACATTGATTGGTCAAAAATAACACCCAAATTACTTAAGTTTGTCTTGACGGCAGAGGATAAATGACCAAGTTTTAGTCTAATCAGGGGAACCATGCTCTCAGGGGCAATAATCAAACATTCAGTCTTTTCAGAGTTTAACTGAAGGAAGTTATCTTTTAGCAAGCTGGAGATAGCTGATAGACACTCTAATAATTCAGACAGTTTATAGAACTCAGAATCCTTAAAAAGAGAAGTACAGCTGAATGTCATCTGCATATAAGTGATAAGATACATTAAGAATCAACTTTCTGTCCAAGAGGGTGTATGTACAGTAGAAACGATAGTGGACCCAAAACAGAGCCTTGGGGTACCCCACAAAACAGATCAGTGGAATCTGAAATGATTTGGTTCATACAGACACTGTAACTTCTGTTAGAAGAGTACGATCTAAACCAGTCTAGAACAGTTCCAGAAATCCCCATCAAGTCACAAAGTCTGTTAATTAAGGTGCTGTGATCAACAGTGTCAAAAGCTGCAGAAGGATATATATATATATATATATATATATATATATATATATATATATAGTTCCTTCTTTAAAAACATGAACTTTGACCCTTTATTTGTTGCTGTTTTAGTTTTTTTTATGAAAGGTGTAACAGCAGATGTTCCTATCCATTTAATCTTAAATTGCTTATATTTTATTTTGAAATACTTTTGTTTTGAACAGAAAGTCTCATTGATGTGCTGAAGCAGCCATCCAGGTTTCTTTTTGATCAAGTGATAACTGGGCCAGTTAGTCCAGTCCCCTCCCAGTGTTTGTGTTCAGCAGAGCTCGAAAGACGCTGAACTATTCAAACATTATTCTAAACAGTTTCCTGTAGTCATGGTTGCAGTTTGACTAGTTTAGTGAGATTGTGGCATCTTGACTTTATTTAATGATTTCGATTTGGCAACCTAAGTTTAAAGATTTGGCCAAATCAGACAAGTTCTATTGTCAAACTCACACATTAAGGGTTCAGATTGGTTTAACCGTTACGGAAAATTTGACTTTTCTTTCTAATAACACACATGCAAGGCTTTTAGGAAAATGGATAATATGATAAATAAGTTAGTGTGGATGAGAATGTTGCACAGTTTTGTTGCTTCACTTTGAAGCCGATTGTGAAGTTTTATTATGAAGAAATGTAAATTTTTGCAAAATGAATTTTTTTCTAATTGCTAATTATTTCTGGAAAGCCAACTTTTTTAGGTAAATTTTTGTCATAGCTGGATAAATTTTAAATGCACAAAGCTTGCAGTCCTGAACTGATTGACAGGGACATAATTTAAGGTCTCAGCGTCATATGCAAAGACGAGAAGTTATTTATAAGCTTTTAGCAGCCACACCTGTCTTTGGAATATCAGCACACAGCACAAAACCGGGTTGCCAGGCCTTCTCCCCCATCACACGTCAGACTAAAAATAACTGGATCAGCGGTTCTCAAACTCTTTTATGTTTTAGTCTCTTTCGGAAAACTCTTGTTGCGCAACTTGGAACAGCTTGTCTTACCAACTTTAAAATCCTACAGAAACAAAACAGAATTGTCAGTATTTATCCAATTTAGGCTGGTTTCAAATTCAATTACATTTACTTATAATATATAGATAGATGATAGATAGATAGATGATAGATAGATAGATGATAGATAGATAGATGATAGATAGATAGATGATAGATAGATAGATAGATAGATAGATAGATAGATAAATAGATAGATAGATAGATGATAGATAGATAGATAGATGATAGATAGATAGATAGATAGATAGATGATAGATGATAGATGATAGATAGATAGATAGATGATAGATAGATAGATAGATAGATAGATAGATAGATAGATAGATAGATAGATAGATAGATAGATAGATAGATAGATAGATAGATAGATAGATAGATAGATAGATAGATAGATAGATAGATAGATAGATAGATAGATAGATAGATAGATAGATATACATATAGATATATGTCTATATATCATCGTATCAGGATGAATCTTAGATCCTCCAAAGTAGGGATGTAAGAAAATATCGATATGGCTATATATTGTGATGTTTTCCCCTGCGATATTACATCAATATTCAAAAGCCACATATCTACTTTTTGGAAGAATTTACATCCAAACATTTGTGTTTTCATTTCTTTTGGTGTAATTCAAACACCAACTGCTAGTTGGCAGCAGTGTGCCGTGGGTTTTGTTTCCACCATTGAAATGTGAATCACTCTATTATGGTTCAGATACCTCATGTTAAACATGTTAAGTATCAGTTTTGACTGTTTATTGAATATTCCAACAATACATTCAGTCAAAAAAAGGCTAATAACGTCTGACTGAATGTATCGCAATATACTGTGATACATTGTATTGTCTCTCCTGTATTGTGATACGTATCGCCAGAATTTCATCAATACACATCCCTACTCCAAAGCAATAATGTTTCTGTTTCCTGATGGCTTGAATATCAATTTAGTTAAAATCATGCCCCATGACATTTGAATACTTGTCATCACTTGTTATCATTTATTATTTGAGACTTCGTCTGGTTCAGCTTCGCTGACCTTGAGCAAATGGCCGAGTCACCATGATGCAGGGTGAAGAGTTATGTCAACTAAAGTCTGTCCCGAGACCGGATCGATTCATTTTCCCACTCATGTGAATTGCCTTATTTAGACAAAAAATTACTGAACTTTTTTTAATCCACTGGCTATTTGGCTCAAAATAGATTTTAATAAACATAAATGTCTTGGAGATGATCAGTCATTTCCTGGCCGGCCTTGACAGCTGTTTCCATGGCATTTTACTTTTTTTAATCAGAGGCCCATTAATAGATCATCAGAATGCATGAGAGGAAAGAGAGGGGAGCAAAGTGATTGCATCAAATTACACGCACACATCAATTCATCCAATAATTTAGTTTGGGAGAAAGGTTGTCTTCTTTTAAATGGGATGGCAGACGGTTGATTTAGATTATATTTGACAATAAAATGCATTTTTAAATGAGATGTTATTGGAAAGGTAAAAAAACCTTTGCTGTTCAGGTACTAAATCTAATTAAGTAAACATGGTCCATAGTTTTATAAAAGAAATGCTTGAAATTAAAAAAAATATCTAATTTGACCCAAACTTCTCTATTCAACATGTTTGAATTCAAGTTTAATGTGGGTAAGAAAAAAAACCTGCTGCAAAAGAGAAGTTTGAA